CATCCATTAGAGGCTGGATTAACCCTATTATAAACATAGCAGTTTCTCTGAAACTGCTATGTTTAGAGCAGGCAGAGTTAATCCTAGATGGACCTGGCACCCAGACCACTTCATTGAGCTGAAGTGGTCTGGGTGCCTATAGTGGTCCTTTAAGCTTTCACCATGCTTAGAAGGTTTAGTGCCGAGGAGGCATATAATATATTAGCAGCCGACTCAGAGGCAACTGACACCGCCTCAGAGAGTGCAGAGGGTGACTATGTGCCAGACAGAGATGAAGAAAGTGGCGATACCCCTGGCACTGCTCCTGGCGCTGATAACAGGGTGCCCCCAAACAATTTTGTCCATGAAATCACTCTGTTCAGTGCGACTCCTGGTATTCAGTGAGACGTGACCAACTATAGCTCCCAGGACTTTATGGAGCTGTTCCTTGGGGATGATTTTTTACGGGCAGATAGTTACACAGACAAATATTTATGCAGTGCAGTATCTGCCACAAAATGCCAGAACAAAATGCCAGTGCTACTGAACAAGAGGTACCACGTGTACCTTGATAATTATTAAAATAGCATACCCCCTCCAAAATATGCTATATTGTTTTGAGACTGTTGTCTGCTGCACTATCCGCAAGACACGCACTGGCTTCCCCAAGGCTCTGGCAGAGAAAAAAATTAAAAAGGGGGAAACTGCTGCTCTCTGCCAGGACGAACTGCTGGCTCTGAAATACAGAGACAAAAAGGACAGTGAACACATGCGCAGGGTCGCAGTCCGTATCAGACAGGAAACAATACGGCTGCCTGTCTGCATTAAGCAATACAATAAACACATGGAGGGAGTTGACCTGTCTGATTATTATTATTATGATATTTATAGAGCGCCGTCAAATTCCGCAGCGCTTTACAATGGCTGGACGAACAGACATGTAGTTGTAACCAGACAAGTTGGACACACAGGAACAGAGGGATTGAGGGCCTGCTCAGTGAGTTTACATGTTAGAGGGAGTGGGGTATAGTGACACAGTAACAGAGGGATTGAGGACCTGCTCAGTGAGTTTACATGTTAGAGGGAGTGGGCAGGGCCGGCGCGTCCATAAGGCGGCACAGGCGGCCGCCTTAGGCGCACCGGTTTCGGGGGCGCAATATTTCAGTGACCGGCAGGAGGGAAGCTCTCCCTCCTGCCAGGCCACCATCTCGACCCCCGGTGCGGCGTGCGGCAGTGCTGTAATCAGATGCGACGAGGGAGCTCTAACTTAGGGATTGAGGACCTGCTCAGTGAGTTTACATGTTAGAGGGAGTGGGGTATAGTGACACAGTAACAGAGGGATTGAGGGCCTGCTCGGTGAGTTTACATGTTAGAGGTGGGGTATAGTGACACAGTAACAGAGGGTTGAGGGGCCCTGCTCAGTGAGTTTACATGTTAGAGGGAGTGGGGTATAGTGACACAGTAACAGAGGGATTGAGGGCCTGCTCAGTGAGTTTACATGTTAGAGGGAGTGGGGTATAGTGACACAGTAACAGAGGGATTGAGGGCATGCTGGGGTGAGTTTACATGTTAGAGGGTGTGAGTGCCCTTCACTTGGTCCTGGAGAGGCCTACTTGCCAGCCTCCTCTGTGACTATGACTCTTTCATGTATCTGGCTTTAAAGCCCCTAGTCTACCTTCAGACAGACTATTTATGTAGGCTGCTTTATTTCTCTTATGTTTTAGTCACCCTGTACCCATTATAGGTGCAGGGTGTGTGTAATGTAATTGTTTATAGTGTGTGTGTATGTACTGTGTAATGTATTGCCTGCTCTCTTGTATTGCTGAGGTTTGCTACCAACTAGGTGGGTTTGGCTATGGAGCTTGTCTAGTGCCCTCTGTTGGTAGCAACAGCAATATACACTACCTGAATTGCAAGACTGGTTCATTTGCATATTCGGGTAGATTTGCATATTGCTAATTCTGCAGGCAGGTGAGATATTTACTGTTAAATATTGTCTCCCCCCACCCCTTTAAAAATGTGCCATTGTGTTGTGATAAGTCACTGTGTGTTGCTTGATATAGTTTGACTGTTTGTGATTTTATTGAGGTTTCACAACAATGTTATTGTGGTGACCCTATTGGCTGGTCCCAAGGGAAATAAAGGTTTTGACAGTTCTTCTTGATCCCTCTAAATGTAGCCTTGTCTCGTTATTGGAGGGAGCTGTTATAATCACACTGGGGATTGCTATGCTCTGCATGCTCCCCTGAGCTTGAATCACCTAGCTCTTTTAAGAGCTTGTTCCTGACACGCTCTCCTTGGAGGAGGGGTCTTCACCACACAGTCCTGGATGCTGGAGGGTCGTACAGGGTGGAAGGAAGAGTTCTTTCCCACACAGTCCTGGAGGACAGAAGCTGATCCAGGGTGGAAGGAAGACGGCGAGACTCCAGTCAAGATACAGCGGTTGTGGAGTCTGCGGTGGTTGTGGTGTCTGCTGCACTGCTTGAAGTCCTCAGGAAGTGCTAGGGGCATCCGTCAACGGAGGGTACTCAGTCGGAGTACAAGGAGCTCCGTTACAGAGGGAGTGGGGTATAGTGACACAGTAACAGAGGGATTGAGGGCTCTGCTCAGTGAGTTTACATGTTAGAGGGAGTGGGGTATAGTGACAGTAACAGAGGGATTGAGGGCATGCTCAGTGAGTTTACATGTTAGAGGGAGTGGGATATAGTGACACAGTAACAGAGGGATTGAGGGCCTGCTCAGTGAGTTTACATGTTAGAGGGAGTGAGGTATAGTGACACAGTAACAGAGGGATTGAGGGCCCTGCTCAGTGAGTTTACATGTTAGATGGAGTGGGGTATAGTGACACAGTAACAGAGGAATTGAGGGTGCTCAGTAATCTTACATGTTAGAAGGAGTGGGGTATAGTGACACAGTAACAGAGGGATTGAGGGCCCTGCTCAGTGAGTTTACATGCTAGAGGGAGTGGGGTATAGTGACACAGTAACAGAGGGATTGAGGGTCCTGCTCAGTGAGTTTACATGTTAGAGGGAGTGGGGGTATAGTGACAGTAACAGAGGGATTGAGGGCCTGCTCAGTGAGTTTACATGTTAGAGGGAGTGGGGTATAGTGACACAGTAACAGAGGGATTGAGGGCCCTGCTCAGTGAGTTTACATGTTAGAGGGAGTGGGGTATAGTGACACAGTAACAGAGGGATTGAGGGCCTGCTCAGTGAGTTTACATGTTAGAGGGAGTGGGGTATAGTGACACAGTAACAGAGGGATTGAGGGCCTGCTCAGTGAGCTTACATGTTAGAGGGAGTGGGGTATAGTGACACAGTAACAGAGGGATTGAGGGCCCTGCTCAATGAGTTTACATGTTAGAGGGAGTGGGGTATAGTGACACAGTAACAGAGGGATTGAGGGCCCTGCTCAGTGAGTTTACATGTTAGAGGGAGTGGGGTATAGTGACAGTAACAGAGGGATTGAGGGCCTGCTCAGTGAGTTTACATGTTAGAGGGAGGTGGGGTATAGTGACACAGTAACAGAGGGATTGAGGGCCTGCTCAGTGAGTTTACATGTTAGAGGGAGTGGGGTATAGTGACACAGTAACAGAAGGATTGAGGGCCCTGCTCAATGAGTTTACATGTTAGAGGGAGTGGGGTATAGTGACAGTAACAGAGGGATTGAGGGCCTGCTCAGTGAGTTTACATGTTAGAGGGAGTGGGGTATAGTGACACAGTAACAGAGGGATTGAGGGCCTGCTCAGTGAGTTTACATGTTAGACGGAGTGGGGTATAGTGACAGTAATAGAGGGGTTGAGGGCCCTGCTCAATGAGCTTACATGCTAGAGGGAGTGGGGTAAAATGACACAAAAAGGTAAGGATAGTATTAGACTAGTGACAGTTGCAGACGAGGAATCAGTCAGGAGCTTTTAACAGTTTAATTGATACAGTCTGATCAACTGCTGCAGCCATATCTGATAATGAGAAAGACCAGGGCCTGGTATAAGAGAGTGGGCATTTATTTAATGCAAATGGCTACTAACAATGCATTCTTCCTTTTCAAAAATGCAAATCCTCAGCTGAAATTTACTTTTCTTACATTTCATTTTCAGCTAATTGCTGTGCTGCTCACTGAGTGCCACAGTGGGGAGCCATCAGCAGGGCCTAGCAGCAGAGATATTCAGACAGGTCACTTCAGCTTTTGGATACCACCAACCCCCCAAAAAAAGACCCCCCAGAAAAGGTGCAGGCTGTGTTACCAGAGAGGCATTCGAACAGAGACCAGTTTCTACTGCCCTGATTGTCCCTCTCAGCCTGGCCTTTGTATTGGGAACTGTTTTAAATTATGTCATACTCAGGGCCAATTAATTCTCAATACAATTAATATTTTTGTTGTAGTTCTTCTGTTATTTGACCACTGACTATATATATATTTATTTTCTTTTACTTGTATTTAGTTAATTGTGGTGGATGATAGTTCCTGGGAAATTGGGGAGTTTAGTGCGTATGCTAGAGGTAAAAATAAAAATAAAAAAATCCACAAAAAAATAAAATAACATTATTATAACATTGTTTTGTTAAAGTTCTTGTGTAAAAAGTTCAAAATGCTTAGGAAGTGCAGTTAGAGAATTCTGACAGCGGATTCAGAGGTGACAGACAGTGCCTCAGAGTTTGACCCAAAATGGGACATGGACCAGCATGAAAATTCAAAGTTTGAAAAAATTTGCCCTTTCGACATCCACATATACCTGGGAAAGGTACACACGGGGGTATTGCTGTACTCAGACGACATAAATGAGTGATATTTGAAGCGTTATACTGCCGTAGCACACCTAAGGATTGTAAACTATGCTGTAAAATGTCAAAGTGTGTGTCAAAAAGGCGGAGAAAATGCTTACTACTACTAGACTTGGTACTCACTGGCGAAAAAATGATCTCACCCTATGGTTCAAAATGGGCCTTTTGAAATACCCTGGGGTGCCTTCTTTAAAAAATGGTAGGCCTTTGTGGGGGAAGTTTGAATAAGCAACCTGCTGTTAGACCCCAAAAGAGTCACAAACCTATAAAATTCATCTCTCAAAATTCTACTGTAAAAACTGAAATGGTCAGGTCTCCTTTATGGCACTGTAGCATCATGAAATACTGCCAAAGGCATACATTGGGGGTATTGTTTACTCAGAAGACTTAGCTGAGCTTAATTAGGGGTGTTTGATCATAGTGGAACATATCAAATATACAAAATGCCCAGCACAAATGTAATGCTTAAGTGAAATATCTAAAAATATTTTTTAACACAAACTTTGACATATAATGGTGAAAAAATGGTGACCTGTTAAGGCAAAATATATGCCATATGAGATACCCTGGAGTGTCTACTTTCACGAATGGAAGGCCTTTGTGTGGTCATTTGAACAACCAAACTACTACAATGCCCCAAAATAAGACATAGGTCCATTAAATCCATCTTTGAATTTTCTAACTGTAGAAACTGAAATAGTCTGGCCTCTTATATGGCATTGTAGCTTCACAAAATAGTGGCAAAGGCATACAATGGGGGTATTGTTGTACTCAGCAGATGTAGCTGAACACAAAATGGGATTTTGACCAGGAATAGCACACAGCAGCTTTACAAAATACACATTTAAAAAACCTTGTTATATGTGTGTATTTCAAAAAACAGAAAAAACACAATTTTACTACAATATGTAGCAGAGATTGGTTGGGAAATGGCTATGAAAAAGGGGCAAAATACCCTTAAATAAATAGCCTGTGATGTCTTTTTTATATAAATATATACTTTTGTGTAGCAATTTTGTTTTCTGTGACGGCTGTTAAACTTACAAGTCAAACATACCAACTTCTAAATTTTTTTCACATTTAAATTTTATATTACTCCTTGTATTTTGTGACCTGTAACTTTTAAAATAAGATGAAATCCTTTACATATTATGCACTTTGAAAAACAAGACACCTAAATGAATTTATTTTTAATTACTTTTCCTAAGCTGGACATACTATGCACACACTATTATTGGCAAAACTGTGAAAATATATATATATATTTTTTTAATAATAAATTTGATTTTATATATCTATAAGTCACATCAAAGTAAAGCCCATCTTGTCCTTTAAAAAACAATATATAATATGTGTTGATTCAATAAATGAGAGCGATGCAAATTGCAGTTGAACACAAACAGCAAAAAATGCAAAAATAGCTTCCTTAAGGGTATGTCCAGCTTCTGAAGCTGCGTCCTTAAGGGGTTAAGTATAAGTCTGGTGTAGATCCTGAGGATTTTTACTACATATATTGTTCCTGGGGGCCAACCTTCTACTCATTAGATAGAGCCTGCTCACAGCTCAGCAAAATGTGAGTGATTTTAAGCTATGGACTTTAATCTAACTTTCACAGATGGTGTGCACACCATCTGTGCAAGTTGGATTTTACAGCAATTCTATACATTCCCAGAAGAATAGAGTGTAATTACAATGTATGTATAGTTCATTGAATGTGTGATGCGCCATATTTATTAATGTAATACACTTTGCGCACTTTATATCACATTTTTATGGTGTGCTATTTATGTCGTTATGGGGACCATTGCTTTTTGATGGGCTGCATGTAAATGTAGGTATTTTATCCACTTGGTTTGAATGGATCAAAGTGCCACAGGACGTTTTACTTTTGTATAATCCCTTAAATGTGCCTATCTGACATCCATGAAAAGATTATCTACGTTTGATACACCTGATTTCAGTAACACTGGCTCTTCCTTCAGGTTCGATGAGCTGTTTTTAAAGGAAGAGCAGTTGAGATTGGAATGGCTCAGTTCTGGGAAAGTGTCACAAGAAAAGAGGGCTGATGGAATGTTCCTGTGGAATCCATGGTTACCATGGCGATTTTTTACTTTTGGAACTTTGGTACAATTATTCTAATAGTTTATAAATCGTACTTTACATGTACAGAGTTATTCACATTTAAATGGAACAACTATTAACCTATTGATCCTTTTTCAGAACATAATCTAAACAATCACAGGAAATGTGAACTTGCCTTATTCGGACCCTGAAAGTTTTAATAAAAGAGCTGGCGTCATAAGGAAATGGGCTCCCAGGGTGGATTCTCTGGACTGTGTAAAGACGTTTAGTTAATACTGTGTTTAGATTGTTTGCTTTCCTTTCTAATTTTTGTTTTGGTTTGCGCTCTAACAAACAGCCCCCCAGATTAAGCTGTCTGGTGAATTTTGGCATGAACGCTGTGTGAAATGAAACAATCCGTACCCAAAGCTCACTGTGAGAGGGCGGTGTTTGTCACCTGTGTAATCTATATAAGCTTTATAAATATATGTCTGGCTGGCAGCGACACAGGGAAGATCAGGTTAACCCATTGCAGACCAGCTATGTTTTAATAACAAACTGTGTCTGATACATAAAGCTAATTACTGATATTTAACTAAAACACCCGCGTGTGCTGCACCAGTTCATTGTGCTCGACACCGTATTCCGGAAAAACAAACCAACAATGAATCAAACAGGATTCCAAGTGCCCAATTTAATTTTAACAATCATTCTGATACATACGTAATACTCAGTAGCGTCATCACAAGGACATCACACGTAAAAAGGCAAACATAACAACCATCCTTTACACAGTAAATACATATGGTAATGAAACTAACTATGGTTCATTAAAACATACGTTTTATTACTATCTTAAAAATATTATTTGTCATTACGGTCATACTTCATTACTCATGTTCCTATCAGATATAATCATAGTATTAAAAAAATACATGTTCCCCATATGTTGTCACTATGCGAATTCCGTATCCAGCTAGGGGTAGAGGCACATGGCGCCTGAATGAAAGTCTATTAGACGTACCGGCACATCTCCAACGACTACAGGTCCGGGTTGAAGAATTTTTCGCTGATCACGTAGATTGCTCGTCATCCGACGCTACAAAATGGCTGGCCCATAAGGCTGTCATGAGGGGAGAATTAATCCAGATAGGGGCTAGAACAAAGAGGCTGCACAACACAACACTGGACAAGGTAGAGAAAGATCTGGCCTTAGTAGAATCCGCCCATAAAACAAACCCTACAACAGCAACACATAAGCGACTGATGTCACTTCGCACAACACTTCATAGCCTCAACCTCGCTGTAACAGAAAGACACCTGAGGTTTTTGAAGCAATCATACTATGTTATGGGTAATAAAGCTGGGAAAATGCTGGCCAATAAAGCGAAACAAACTAAATTGCAATCTAAAATCCCGTACATAACCTCCACAACTGGGGATAAATTATACAACCCCCAAGACATAGTGAACGAACTAGCGAAATATTATGCCTCACTATATCAACTAGAAAAGGATCCCTCCACACACCAACCGACGGAAGACGAGATAGTACGTTTTCTAGACAGAGTGCCCTTAGCCAGTCTAACGCAAGCGCAACGAACCCAACTGGAGAACCCCTTCACGGAGGGCGAAGTAGAAATAGCAATCA